ACCATACATTCTTCGGACAACCTACTTCTTCGGCGACAACGGTGGTCGGAGATGTCAAGAACTCAAGCCTCACTGTTCGGAGAAGGTTAAAATGGCGTGTCGCATCAGAATACATGGCGCTCGGGGACTAGCTATGGGGGATATACCCCCGGGTACCACAAGATGGTACATGGGCCGCACCATCCAAGGTGGCCCGGCCCGTAAGATCAAGGCGTGCACATCAAGATTACAAGTTGTACTAGATATTGTGATAGTACCAAATTGGATACTTTACTTGTAACCTTGTCTCTTCAGAGTATATAAGGAGAGACAAGGGTCCCCTAGAGGACAGGTTAATCTGTATACATCTCAATACAATACATCAAAGACACAGGACGTAGGGTATTACGTTGACTAGACGGCCCGAACCTGTCTAAATCGCTGTCTCTGCGCCTTGTGTCACCATCTAGTTTCTGATTACACGCACCGTCTACCGACAATCTACCACCACGGGCACCCCCCTTGGTGGACTGCCGACCATATTTCGTCGACAGTGGGCCATCCGATGATCAAAAGCATGAACGTACGATGTCTTCCCCACGGACGGCGCCAACTGTCGGTGCAGAAAGTGGCCAACACGTAAATATTTGTAGTTTTGCTGTACGTTGTGATCGGATGTGGTCTAGCACTCAATGACACAGGGTTTATACTGGTTCAGGCAACGTGCCCCACGTCCAGTTTGAGTCGGTCGGTGACTTTATTCCTGAGCCCAGGTGCTCGACGTTTGCTGTGGGGTCACAAACGGAAGGGAGTAAGATGGGGGGCGCAAGCGGTCTGGTCGGACTCTGGACCAAAGGGCCGAGAGTGACAGGAGCTTCTGCGTGCGTTAAGTATTTGAGCGTATGCTCTGTTGGAATCCTTGGTCGTTCGGATCATCTTGATCGTGTCGATCGTGTATGTTCGAATCGTCTGAGAGTCGTCATCAGTGGAAGAGAGCGCATCCCCTTTTATAGATGAAGGGGACGGCCTTACAAGTGAGAGATGGAGAGTTTATGTATGCTACTAAGTCATGTTGCCCATGCCGTCGGGTACAATGATGATTGTAGGCGCCCACAACACTGTTTATGTCAGACGCATGTGGGAGGTTTTACTGTATTCACCATGTATGGCAAATGACGACGCCCACAACACTGTTGATGTCTAGAGGCATGTGGAGGGTTTTACCGTGTTCGCCTGGTATGGGAGTTGAGGGCGCCCACAACACTGTAGGGCAAATGTCGGCGCCCACAACATTGCTGGGGCTCTGACATGCCTAGAAGGTGGCAGGGCACCCTTCTGACATGACCTGTTGGTACTGTGCTTCAGGTGTACAGGGTACAGTCTTGGTATTGCGGTTGACATGAGCGCCCTACCTTACTTGCTCTGCTCATTTCTTGGGTCCTCACCGAGCGAGCGTCCTCGGTCGGTTGGTCCCAATCGGCTCTGACTGTGCCAGTCAGAGAAGAGCTGTAAGCAGAGGTTCAGAGACGCAGGTCGGAGTCGGAAGCGATGCTGGCCAGGCCTTCTGGTTAGAGAGGCGGCTCTGAGTCGAAAGCGGTGCTGGCTAGGCCTCTCGGTCGGAGAGGCGGGCCAGAGTCAGAAGCAAGCGCCATTCTTCCTTGACCAGGCCTTCCGGTCGGAGAGGCAGGCCGGAGTCGGAAGCGAGCGTCGTTCAACCTTGGCCAGGCCTTCCGGTCGGAGAGGCGGGCCGGAGTCGAAAGCGAGCGCCGTTCATCCTTGGCTAGGCCTTCCGGTCGGAGAGATGGGCCAAAATCGGAAGCGAGCGCCGTTCCTCCTCGGCCAGGCCTTCCGGTCGGAGAAGCGGGCTGGAGTCGGAAGCGAGCATTGTCCTTTCCTTGGCCAGGCCTTCCAGTCGGAGATTGGATCGTCCTTCTGGATCGGCCCAGGAGTTGCGCGTCTTTCGCAACGTCGTCTGCTGGGCCGAGCTCTTGCTGGGAAGCAGGTCCATGAGGGACCCCAGATTTATGAATCTGACACAAGATGACTAAAACAGAGACTAAATGGTTTAGTCCTTTAGTATCTTGGGGTGACTAAAGGGGACTAAACTGCTAAAAAGGCATCCCTTCCTCCCTCTTTAATACACTTGTGACCTTTACCCAACCCCGACCTCGCCGCCCCCTCCCAGCGTTGCATGGGCCACCAGCCCTGGCCACGCCAAGCCCCCGCACTCGCCCCGCCGCCTGCTGCATGCGCCCGACCTCGCTAGCCCCGCGTGGGCCCGTGCTGGCCCACTCACCGCTCGCCCTGTTGCTGGCTATGCGCGGCCCGCTCGCCGCTCGAAGCTTGCGCCGTGCCCGGCCACGCCAGCCAGCGCGGATGGCTTCTCCGGCGACGGCGGTGCTCCCTTCCTCACTGGGCACCTCGGCAGCGTGGGGAAGGAGATTGGGCAAAAATTATGGGTGTTTTGGTCATTGTCCATCAACTTTAATAGCTTTAGGCCTTGTTTAGTTCCCCTAAAGTTTACTTCCTATCCCATCGAATGTTTGACACATGCACGGAGTATTAAATATAGACTAAAAAATAACTAATCGTACAGTTTGCGACTAATTTGCGAGACGAATCTTTTAAGCCTAATTAGTACACGATTTGACAATGTGGTGCTACATTAATATACGTGCTAATGGCGGATTAATTAGGCTTAATAAATTTGTCTCACGGATTACTGACGGATTTTATTAGTATCCGAATACCCCATATGACACATCTATGTGACACCCCAAAACTTTACACCCTAAATTTAAATAAGGTCTTAGTACTTGATCAAATAGGGTAGGGACTAATGGAACCAAACAGGACCGAAGATCATTATTATTTTTTGAATCTGTTTTCTAGTACGTTTAATTTCTATTTCAATCAACACTTAAGGTCCCATATTGAGGGGCTCCGTTATGCACTGGCTCTGGCTCCACTTGAAAATGATTTGGAAGCAAGAGACGCCGCCAGAGCTACACAAGAGAGGCTCGTTCCGGCTTCACTACAGTACTGCTATAGTGATAAAGCCGGAACTGAAAAATCCCTTCAGAGTTCAGACAGGCCCTAAATCTACTCTGGCATCAGGCTATTTTTGTAGTACACTGGCAAAGTCATAAGTGATGGCAACACTCAAAGACAGTGGAAGTGGGAGATGAGAGGTTATGATCAGCTCTACTTTTCAGTCATAGAATAGTATTTTTTCTCTGACAACAAATTAGCCCTACAAATCACCCGCAGCCATAATAAGTCCTGCCGAACAGCCCGCTAGTTTGATGTAAACTCTCCCTAATAAAAGTTCATATAGTGTACGATTCAGATAATACTGGATAGTTGCTCTGACATTTGTGAGGTTAAGTACATAACACATCAACTTAGCAGTATTTATGGAAGTTTAAGTTCACTGCTTAGCTCTTATTATGACTCAAATCTACCGTTTAGTGAACAAATATCCTACCTCTGCCCTCGAGTGATGCGATTCTAGGTTTGAATTAAGTCATACTTTCTAGAAAATATTTATAGAAAATATTATTAATATGCTTTAATTCAAATATTTATAGAAAATGTTATTAATATTCTATGATTAATCCAATGATATTTATCCGATTAGTAATTTTTTATAGTTCGATCAAACTAAAAAACGTCTGGTTTCTCAAAAAGCAGAGTTAAGATGGTTTGGTATCAAAAAGACAGGATAAAAGGTGGATAAATATGCCGAGTAAAAACAAAACCTATAGCTTTTGGATGCGACGTGATTTGGAAATGAAAATCAAAACAGAGGTGGACATCCCATCCCCTTTGTTTGGTATGCTGAAATAGAGAGTAGATCAACATTCAACGGTAACATAACCAAGTTCAATATGGTAATTTTGCACGTTACTGATATTATTTTACCCCTCATCATCGGTTTAAAATTTTGAGAAAGAAGCTTTCATATCTCAAACAGTTCTCTTATGTCTTATACTCTTATCCCAAAGCCTAGCTACAAGAGGACACTATGGTCATATAGAACTATAAATCCCCAACCCAAATTCATTCCATATTAACAAAGGAGATAGAGGCTCTGTTCGCTTCGCTGGAAAAACAAGCCAAACATTGTTCTGACTGATTTGTTGTGAGAGAAAAACACTGTTCCGGCTGAAAAAACAAGCTGAAAAAGACGGATTATAAGAGAAGCGAATATAGCCAGAAAGAATGCTTTAACCCTGCCACAACAACCTACTTCATTCCCTATCCCATTCCCTTCTGCTATGCAAATTGGACCTATAGAAACCAAACAAAGGTCAAAGGAGATGGTTTTAACTCACATCTCATTTTATTACTTTCCTATCCTCCATTCCACCGTTGAATTCATGTTGCAATTAAAAAATAAAAGAATGTAGGTTGCAGGGGTGGACTTGGGCCTTAGGCCCTGTTGGTTTGAACTTATCAGCCATACCGTTTCAGCAAAATAACAGCGTTTTTCTCTCACAATAAATCAACATATCAGTATTAACATCAGCCGTTTTTTCAGCGAACCGAACGGGGCCTAGTCCTACAGGCCTAGCCCGAGGCTGAAATCACGTAGCCATATACCATGGCCTTGTTTAGATTGCAAGTTTTTTCACTCTCTCTCCATCACATCAAATCTTTGGATACATGCATGTAGTATTAAATGTAGATAAAAAAATAACTAATTACACAGTTTAATTGTAAATTATGAGACGAATCTTTTGAGCCTAGTTAGACCATGATTGGACAATAATTATCAAATACAAACGAAAATGCTACAGTGCCGAATGCTGATTTCTAACCCTAATCTAAACCAGGCCCGGATACAAAAAGCGAAAGCCCACAGCAGAGCATCGCATTCTCACATATTCATCGGGCTCGTAAGCCCACTCAGCCCAAGAAAACCCAAGACCTAACTACCTAAGAAACCCGCCCACGCCGCCACGCACACGCCAATTCCTCCCTCTCGCCGAAACCCTCCTCCCCCAACACTCGCTGCGATGGGCAGGAAACCCTCCGCCGCCGCCGCCGCCGTGGCGATCGACCACGAATCCCTCGCGGCTACCATGCCCGCCGACCTCCTGGCCGCGTCCGACTGCGGTGGCATCCACGGGCATGCCCTCTTCTTCGACGCCCTCGTGCAGCTCATCCCGCCGCGCTTTTATCTCCCGTCCGGCGACGAGGACCGCCCGTGGTACCAGGGCCTGTCCAAGGCCGCCAAGGCGGCCATGAAGGCCCAGTCCCGCGCCAACGTCAAGGCCGCCCGCCGCGCACGCCTCGACCCCTCCGCGCCGCCCGCCTCCACCCTCGACCTCCTCAAGAAGTCCGTCGCCGGCCAGGCAGCGGAGGAAGAGGAGGAGGATCAGGAGAAGTCAGAAGAAGAGAGCGAGGAATCTGGGGAGGAGGCAAGCTCCGAGGATGATGGTGATGAGGAAGACGGGGATGAAGAGGATGAGAGGCCGATTGCGCCAGCGGCAGTGGTGTCTGAGGACCGTTCGGTGACCTATGAGGAGCTGCGAGAACGCCTTCAACTCCGCATTGCTGAGCTTCGAGGCAACCGGTGCACCAGGCCTGAGTTCTTGAATAAGCCCAAGAAGGAGAAGGGGAAGAAGTCAAAGGCGAATAATGAAAAGAAGGGGAAAGGTGAGGGCAAGAAGCGTAAGCGTGACGATGGCACCGAAGATGTGGATGGCAAGGATGGGAAGATGGTCAAGAAGGGAGCTGAGGAGAAGCCAGATATCATGTATGCGAATGTGTTTGTCGACCCAAAGGAAGCAAGGCGCAGGAAGAAGAGGAGGGTTAAGAACAAGAAGAAGGCGCTGGAGCAGGCTAAACGGTTGCAGGAGGCAAAGAAGGATCCTGAGAAGGCATGCAAGATTGCTTGGGATACAGCCAGAAGACGTGCTGCTGGGGAGAAGGTGCATGATGACCCCAAGCTGATTAAGGAGAGCTTGAAGAAGGAGGAAAAGCGGCAGCAGAAGCATGCTGCACTGTGGAAGGAGAGGCAGAAGACTGTGGACAATCAGAGGAAGGAGAAGCAGAAGAAAAGGACTGAGAACATCCGGGATCGGGCACACCAGAAGAAGATGCGCAAGATTGAGAAGCGCGAGAAAAAACTTATGCGCCCTGGGTTTGAGGGGCGGAAGGATGGTTATGTTAACGAGTAACATCTGTGTCCAAGGTTGTCTGGGTGATGAGTTACTGTATCCTCTTTCAGAGTTCCATTTGCTGATATGCGTAGTTGGTACTTGTAATAGGTTACCAGTTCATGGCTTCTAAAGTGCCTTAATTATTGAATGAACCAAACTTTCAATCTTTAGCAGTTCTACAGATGATTTTGGAGTAGTTATGTAATTGTGTTCTGTTTTACAAACTCATGCCTTGCTAGTTCTTTTTTTTACATAAGATTCATGAATTGTCAATGCTGATTTTGCTTAGGTGGATGCCTTTTTTTTTATAATAATTCTTTGTAGCATTGACATGATGGATAATAGTGTTTCTGAGATAGTGTTTGGGTATAGAGGTGTATGGTGTCTTTCGGGGACCAGAGTGAATCAGAACTTCAATTGGGCATTTGTCATCTTAATAATATGCACATGCTGGAATCTGGATAGCAATGGCCCCTCTGATCTTGTAAACTTTTGTTGGATGCCTTGTTTGTCAACTAGTATGACTCAGTATATACTGATTCACTGCAGTGTGAACAACACAAGTGTACCTTTGTCAATTGTGTAATTTATTTGCCTGAAAATTCTATATGGTCTGTTGTAATACTCAGCTGATCTTGCAAGCTTCTGGTGCAATGAAATGTGGCCTGAAATTTTCTTTCATCTGCTTATGATCCATTGCTGCTATTATGCAAACATAATTACGGTTTTACATCATACTAATGAGTTATTTGGAATATCTGGAAGAGGTTTTCACCACAGCCTTTTTCTTTCTTTCTTTTTTTGCTGGGTTGCTGACTTTAGAATTGGTGAAATTACAATGAGATACAAGAACTTACTCAATTGTGTTCTCTGTCCCACTTCTCTCAATTTTACCTATTAATTGTTATTCATTGGTAAAATAATAATAATCATGTGAGACCCGATCTAGCTCTAGCTGGTTTTTGGATCGTGGTAAGTAACAGTCAGCTTCTTGCCGGTAGCCAACAGGAGCAGCACAAGGAAGCAACTGATCTCCGAAAGAACAAGGTATTTCTGGTATTAGCTCATAAAACACGTGGTGTTACCGTGTTAGCATTCTAAAATATATGTTTACTTTCTGGACTCAAATCACAATAAGGTGAATTGCCAATTCGGCTGCACTGAAGGCTACAAGGAACGTCAGTCTGAACTCTGAACCCAGCCTAACTCCTGGGTCGCTCTCCACCTGCTCAGGTTCACCTCACATCATCCTAGCTTTGCTTGGTAAATCAAATTTCTTCTACGATCAAAACTAATAGATGGTCATTATGTATTGGAAAAAACTCATGCTTTAAACAAAAATCAGAGAACTTATGCGCTAACCTTAGGGCGTCTAGGGGGTGGGTGGGTAGGCACATATTGATGCCTCATCAGATAGTGAAAACTTTCTTTTATTAATGTAATTATAGTTTCTCTGTCATCAAATTTAGTATTATGTAAACCAATTCTTTTACATTGTTCATAGAAAAACGACTACATTTTACATTTTGTGAATTATCCCGATGAAGTCATTTTGCCTTGTAGTCAATTGCTTCCACAAAAAAATAAATAAGTTGGAAGACCGGCTCGGGAAAGGTCCTTAGAGCAAGTATAATAGCAAGCTGTAAGCTAGCTAAATGCTGAGGTAGAGAAGATAGAAGATAAGCGGTCTGTAAGCTTACAATCGGTTTGGGCACAAGAACCAAGAAAATCTATGAGAGAGACAAGTGGGCCATGTATTAATGATGAAGAGCTAACTACTATATGAGCGGGCTGAAAAAAGGCTGCAAAGAACCTTACAGCCAGCAAACTGACTGTATTATTAGCCTTGCTCTTAGCCTCCAATCCAAGTCTTTGGTTGTCTTCCATTTGGAATTGGCGGTCACATTCCTCTTTGCATTATGACATAACTTTTAAATTGTTCCTTCAAAATTCGCTTGAGCTTATTCAGCACTACTCTTCAACCCTAGAACAGTGTTTTTCTTTCACAATATTTCGGCATAAGCATTAGCATAAGTCAAATTTTAGCATAAGCGAACAGGGTGAATGTTAGCCACAATTGCACGGTTGTCATTAACCAATAACCACCGAAACTTACTGCTTCGCTTGGGGTCCTAGATGCTTATATATGTTTGTGGCCGCCACAAGCAATGGACGACGGTGCATGATATAGCACGATGAGCCCACTATCCGAGCTCTAGAGACTAGAGCGTGGATCCACAGCGGAAAGCATCCCAGACTAGTGGTAGAAGAACCAACACCCATGACCACACCACTCGGGCGAGCAAAGTCAATAGCAAGTCATTAAAGGAAAAGTACAAAACCACAACAATAGCCAACATGACCAGAAGAGATGAAAGAGCACAAGCAACATATGAGACGCCAACAGTGATGAGGACCCTAGACCACCTATCGAAACGAATGTTTTTTTTCTTCCTTCTCACAAAGATGAAGGCCACGGGGAAATACAGATACTCCTTGTTTAGCCTCCTCTAGGGTTTCCGAGCTCCGCAGGATGATTGCGGCTTCAGATTCTCCCCAATCTATGTTGGCGTTAACATGATCATTCTTAATTTCTTATCGAGATCTATGAATGCTGAAGCAGAGGTCCTCGTTCGGTCATTCAAAGTGTATACATAGTAACATACTACAATGTTTGTTCACATTTCTTCTACCGTGCTTGAACCTACCACATTGTTTGTGTTAATGGGCAACCGAGCAAGCGATACCTCTGTGTCATTGCAGCTGTCCTGTTGAAGGAAGACCACAGTAAAGAGCAAGAGGAGGGGGTCTCGGCCCATCAAGACGAGGTGCCACCCAAAAGAACTATCAAGACGAACTCATGGTATGTGGCAAAATATGTAGTGAACCTATATGTAGGTGCAAACATACAAACTTATTCAAAAAAAAAAAATCACACTTTCATAAATTTTTTGAAGTGATACACACTCATAGTGCATCCATATAGAAAAGTTGAGATTCAAACTCAGTCAAGAAAAAATCATGCAAAAATAACAAAATTAGAGTGCATGTGCGCTAACTCTTTTCAAAATTAAGATGGTTCGACTTAAGACATGATCAAAATGACTTCTCTATTGAAGTGGGTGAGGTAATGTTTGCCTCAAAGGGAAACCTGACCTGTCCCTGTGGTAATGTTTGCCGATGTTATATCGTGCAATCTAAGTTAAACCATGTCATACACAGAAGAAGACTATCAGAAGTAAAATCCCACAGAAGATGCATGCCTAAATTTCTTGGATATAACTTGAATATGAGAAAATTTTAGCCGCATGAGTTTCGATCTGGGGGGCAGATCTAATGCAACCTTCATCCACCCAGCAATCCAGTTTCGATATATACCAAGTGTTAAAGCAGTTTTATTTCTCACCATGAGAGCAGACAAATGAGATTTTTTTTTTTAATAGGAAAGCTCTGGTGCCAAATCTTACGCAATGATGCAGGTTTGTCAAATCTTGTGGTCAAATGATTCAGCCATTCATAACATCAAACTGCTATTTGACTATGTCTTTAGCAATGCTAATCAAACAGTAATACAAACCAGAGAGGTAAGAGGACTGCAAAACACAGTGCGTTTATCATATAAAATGACAACATAAGCATCACCAAAACAATAGCCTCTTAGCATCGTACAGCAGGCATACCAGGTATGCTTTCATCCCAAGAGTTCGCTATGTTAGCAGCTCAGGAGCCTGTAATTAAAATCTAATGTTTACCACTACAGGGCAGCATTAACAGTTCTTCAATGTAGAGAATGTGATCAATGCAAACATCCTAGACACATGAAACTTGAAGAACATGGTAATACCGCTTAGGCACGACCTTGTGGCACTTCCTCACTAGATGATGCTTCAGGCACAGAAGCTTCATCATCACTGGATTCTTCTGATACAGCACTTTCCTCAGCGGCAGATCCTTCCAGCTCAAGTGCCTCTACCTCTGCAGCACCGGGCCTAACCTCAGCAACAGTTTCTCCAGATGTAACTTTCGACTGAGGAGTTTCTCCACTATCTGAGTCCAATCCAAGCTCCTTCTCAACCTTCTTCCAACCAGACAGCAAATTCTCTGGGAAAATCTTTTTTACCTCTGCAATAACCTCTTTGGCATCAACCACCCTGCCTCCCTTTGCCAATCCCTCAACCAACCCTTTCATTGTCCTAAAATCTGGCACTTTGCGCCTCTTTAAGCTATCCTTGAAGATGCCCAATCCAGCATCAAAGTCTCCATGGGCACAGACATCTGCTAACATGTGCTTGTATGTGGAAGCATCTGCCGAGCACCCCTTCTCAGCTAGGGAGTGGTAAAGGACCTTGGCATCCTCCAATTTGCCACTCTTGAAATAGCTACGCATGAGGAAGTTGTAGGTGATGGTGTTCGGCTTCACTCCAGCCGCTTCCATCTCTGTCATCACCTCCATAACCTCTTCTGGCTTCCCATGGAGGGCGTAATAGAAGGCCTTCACATTATAAGTTGCCACATCGGGTTCACATCCACTCTCTACCATCTCCTTCCACAAGCACTCAGCCTCATTGGTCATCTTATTCTTATACATGTTATCAATCAACGTGGTGTAGATACTGGTGGTCGGCGAGATACCTTGCTCGCGCATTAGATCCAAGGCTTGCTTCGCCTTAGCATCATCGCGGGTCATGCAGTAGGCCTTGACAAGGATGCCATATGATGTGGCATCGGGGGTGATGGAGAACTCCTTGGAGAGCTCAGCGAAGAGGACAGGGACGCGGCTGTAGCGGCGGCATCGTATGAAGGTGGAGAGGAGGGCGTTGAAGGGGAGCGGGGAGATGGGGGCCGGGAGGGACGGCACTGCGGAGCGGAAGGCGTCGATGGCCTTCTCGGGGAGGTTGGCGGAGGCGTAGCAGCACAGGACGGCGGCGAGGTGGGCCTCGGTGTTGGAAGCGGTGAGATGGGAGGAGAGGAGGGCCTCCGCGTCGGCGAAGCGGCGGGAGCGGGAAAGGCGGCGAGCGGCGAGCGAGAGCGCGTGGCGGGTGGAGGCAGCGGAGATGGACGCCGTGTCGATGGCCTCGAGGATGGAGACCACGCGGTCCGGATCGCGCTCGCGGCGGAGTTGTCGCTTGGCGTCCGACAACGTGATAGCGCCGCCGGTGGTGGTCGGGGTGGTGGTGGAGAGCGCACGGGAGAGGCGGAGGCCGTGGGCGTGGGTGCGGCGGCCGTGACGGAGGAGTGTCGCGAGCGCAGCCATTTTCGTGGGCGGAGGGCTTTGCCAGGGTTTTCTTCGCTAGGTTTTGTGACTAACTAGTGCTAGCGCATGCGGGAATGGCCAGTGTTGAGTGTTGGGCCCAATTGAGTCAGCCGAGCCGTGTATCGCGGAATGACTGGTGTTGGGCCTTTTTTTTTTTTGAAAAGGGCCATTTGGCCCGGGCTTCTTTGGAGGCTATTGTACTAGCCAGCTCCCACCCTTGGGGCTTAACCGCCTGCTCTATGAGCAGTTCCTGTGTTGGGCCAAATTACACAGAAGCAAGCATCCATCACTCACTCCCGACCCTCCTCTAAAAAAAAAAAAACTCACTCTCGACCCTACCTTCGTCGTAAAAAAAGAGAGAGAATTATGTATTTGGCACTAAAATAAATCGGTCTTTCATATTTGGCACTAGAAAATTTGAACTTCTTTATCTAGCATCGCGTTGAAATTTTCTTTCGTAAATAGCACTGCCGTCCATTTAAACCAGTAACGGTGTCAAGTGGCTAGCAAAATGAAATAAATGCCTTTGATTGTAGCAAAAGTCCATGGTGCTAAATAGAGAAAAAATAAATAGACAAGGTGTCAAATAAGAAAATCATAAATATCATAAATATACTTTGAACTAAAATGTGGATTTTTGATAATTGAAGACTGTAAATAAATAATTAATAAATTTTAAATTTGTAATAGCAGGTACAGATTATGCCCCTCACTCTTCCTTTCATCTCGGCCACATATCAAGGATGCATGGCTCAGGATGGCTGCGAGTTAAAATACATAACTTATATTTTCAAGATATTTATCTTTTAGTTTTCTAAAAGAAAAAGAGAGTATATGTCGTTATCATAACATCATGGCTCAAGAGCTGAGCACACCGTGCATGCCTAAGGCTGGATAACGAGCTGGCTCGGCTCGGCTCGTTCTGGCTCGTTAAGATAACGAGCTAGCTTGGTTCGGCTCGTTATCGTAACGAGCCAGAAACCAGCTCGGCTTGGCTCGGTAAAAGCTCGAGCTGGCTCGTTAAGCTCGCGAGCCAAGTATAAAAAATACACAAAATATAATATTTGCATTTATCTAAAGTTTGAGAATAATAATAATATAAAAGAAATGCAACTAGACCAGTTATCAGTCAATTTATAGGGTTTAGACCAGTTACCAGTCAATTGTAAAGTGCAAGACATGAAGTAATACAAAAACTAATATAAAATTTGATACTTTTTTTTCCTAGAAGCTTGACTCGTTTAGCTTGCGAGCTGGCTCGTTATAGCTTACGAGCTAAAATCTTGGCTTGGCTCGGCTCGTTATCATAACGAGCCAGCCACGAGCCGAGCGAGCTAACGAGCTTCGAGTTTTTCGTCTAGCCTTATGCATGCCTTGGCCGGCATTTGACACCAAGCGCACGTGGCCGGCGGAGCACGCGGCCCGGACAACGCGCGGAGCTCGCAGCCTTGGCGGCGCGGAGCACGCAGCCGGGGAGCTCCTGGCCTGGGCGCGCGGTGGCTGGCCGTGCCCGTCCCCGGGCGGGCATAAACAAATACGGGTCCAAGGCTCGTCAATTCATTCATGTACGCAGTTAGGCACAGAACCATTGCCATTCGCCACCCCGGGAGGGTGTGAATGAAACTGATTACCATGGCACCTGAGTAGCTAGCAGGGATTGCAGGAGCAGCATTGCCCGTGTCGCGGCGGGGCAAACGAAGGGGCTGTTTGGTTCCTTCCTCTTCTCCTAAAATTTATGTCACATCGAATGTTTGGACACATGTATGGAGTATTAAATATAGATTAATTACGAAACTAATTGCACAACTTGCGACTAATTTATGAGACGAATCTTTTAAGCCTAATTAGTCCATGATTTGACAACGTGGTGCTACAGTAAATATGTGCTAATGATAGATTAATTAGGCTTAAAAAATTCGTCTCGGAAATTAGCCTCCATCTATGTAATTAGTTTTGTAATTAATTTATATTTAATGCTCCTTATTAGCCTCTAAATATTTGATGTGACATAAATTTTAGGAGCGCCTATAGAACCAAACACCCCTGAAGAAGCACGGAGAACACTAGGCGTCTCGTCGCGATCCCCCGTGCGTTTGGCATATTTAACCCGCGGCCGCACACGAATGCTCCCACCCTCGCTCTCACGCCCACCCACGGCGCGCGGCTGATCCCCGCTCAGCGCTGACCCCTCGCCTCGCCTCCGCCAGTCCAGAGCCCGGAGCGAGCGAGCACCTGCTCCCGCGTCAAGACAAGCTTCCACTCGCGCATTTGTTTATGCTCGCCCGCACGAGCACGACCAGCCTTGGCGGTGCGCACGGGCACGGCCAGCCACAGGCGCGCGGTGCGCGGTGCGCCGGGGAACTCGCGGTCTGGGCGTGCTGCTGCTGCGCGCAGGAGAGGCCGTGTTTTGCGCAGCACAGCTGCCGCCGCTCGTCCCACCCCCGGAGCCACATGATCGGCGTCACGTCGAGCTCCAGCGCCATCGCGTCATCTCTGGACAGAGAAGCTGCTCGACGACGTCGTGCTCCTCGCCGAGACGCACGCTGCGCATGAATGGCCGTCGCGTCCCCCGCGTTGCGGCCTGGCACTAGTGTTGCCGGGCGACGTGCCCCCCGCACTGCGAGCTGGGGCCAGCGCTGGCGAGCGAGGAACTCCCAGCGCGTCCCCCGCGCCTCAATCTGCCAAGTCCGGCGCGAGAGGCCTCCGCGCCTCCGCGAGCTCCTGGGCAGGAGACGAGCCACCGGCCACGAGCGAGTATAGAGGGGCATTTTGGTACTTCCGAAAGAAACATGACAGGGTGAACGCAGTCTAACTGACGAATGGATGTACTGAATGGATGGTAGTGATATTTACAGAAAAAATTTTTAACTCGATGTCAAATAAGAAAGTTTAAAATTTTTAGTGCTAAATAAAGAAGACTGATTTGTTGAGTGCCAAATACATAATTGAAAAAAAAAAACCACCGCATCCGCCGCGGCCACCGGTGACATCGCCGGTCGCCGCGTCGCTTCCCTCGACTGGGCTCGAACTCATGCTCCCCGTGGGGCTCCGTGCCTGATGCCGCCATAGCCGAAACCCTGAAGCCCAAAACCTCCCGAAACAGTCATGGATGAGCTCGTGTCGGCGGCGCTGGAGGAGGTGTGCGCGCGCCTCGCGCCGGGGATCCCCGTCGTGGACCTATGGCCGGCGCTCCGCGGCGCGCTCGATGCCACGGGCCTCCCGCTAGGTCCATCAGTCAAGCGCGCCCTGTGGGCTCGCATCCTTGCGCTCCGCGTCGTCAGCCTCGTGGAGGGGGGCGGGGACGGGGTGCCCGTCTCTGCCGGCGACCCCGCGGAGAAGGACTTCGAGGAGGCCGAGCGGCGGGGCATGCGGCTCGTGGCGAGCGCGGGGATCAGGGACAACTTCCTGGGGTTATACGAGCGCAGATTCGCGAAATCAGAGTTCAGTGCCGTCCACAAGGCGACATTGGAATGTGTTGCGGCAAGCAGGTGCATATCGCAATGGGTTTTGAGCAAATATATGATTGTTACGCCTTCCATTTCAAGTTCATTAATCAGTCTGGGGGTTGGGTATTTGTGACTTGCTAGGAATTGGAAGACTTTCAATATGTAAATCACTTAATTTATATATGATGTTACCTTGCAAGAGAGAATTTATGTTATGTGTACGGATTTTAAAGCCATAGAGCTGCAATTTTAAAGCCACAAATTAGTAGTATTATTGATATTGTCCAACAGAATGGTTATTAGCCTTTCTTGCACTTTTGTATCGTTTCCAATTTATAACCTGTTCACATAATGCGGTATGTTCATATTCAAATTCTTTATCTTGCTTTTAACTATGTTTGTGGTTTCTTACATCATGTTTTCGTTTATAGGACTTCTGGGGTAGCGCAGAGTGAACTTTTCAAAAAATTTAAAATGAAAGGAAATAATTTCTATTTTATTGCAAAGAGTCTTGAATCACAGCGGCTAATAGTTAGACAATCAACTATAATAAAGGTGAAAGACCACGGAGCTGAGAGGGAAGATGCCTCACAGAATAAACATGTTATCAATACCAATTCACTATATCTCTCCCGATATGCCAAGGACTTGAACATGACTTCACAGCAAAGAATTGAGATTACAAAGCCTGAACTACTTGGGAGCAATGAAGAGACCAATGTAGATGCTTTCCAAGAAGATGGAACTTTTGATGTTAACTCCAAGAATGATATATCTATTCATGATTATCTTCCAGCAATGAAAGCCATATGTGATAAACTTGAAGAAGCAAGCGGAAAGGTCAATTTCTCCCACATTTTTCCCCATTGAAGCTATGCTAATTTGCTTTAGATTTTTTCTAGTTTGCTAATTTGCTTGATTATTTCCCCTAGGCTCTTGTTGTGTCAGATATAAAAGTCGATCTCGACTACAGGATGGCATATGGGCACAGAGCATGGAGAAACGTAAGCCTCCTTGAAATAAGCTATGGTGTGTTTGGTTTGAGGAACCAACTTTTCCTACCATTACTCATACTGAGCAAGTAGATTAGGTTTGGATAGTTCATTCAACATTCTGCTCCTCAAACCAAGCACCCCAAGTTTACACTATCTCTGTTGGTCCTTTATTTTCATGGGTTGTTACTTAGATGACCTATTCCTCAGGTATTGCATAGGCTAAGAGATGCACAACTTGTTGAGACATTTGATGCCGAAGTTGATGATAAGGTGATGCTAATCTCTTGCTATTTCATATTTTCACTTGCTATTTAATGCCACTTTCTAATACTTTTTTGGGGTTCATTCTCTCAGTTCCTGACGCTTCCTGTCGGGATTAAAATGTTAGTTTAAATCTGTAATTCAAAAACTGTTAGGCTTTTAGAAGTGTAGTTTGTCATAGGATTTACAGTAATTTGAGTTACTGTTTATTAGCATGATTCCATAACCCAGTTTACATGCTACTTCAAACATGCATATGTTTTTGGACTGAAGAGGCAATGGTTTGCAATTCCATTTTTGATTAAATATGACTGAGAGTAAACATGGTGCTGGAGCTGAGACTTTGTACATTTCAACCCAAAGACATGGAATGCTTGACTAGAAACCTAAATGAGAAAAAGCATCATCTCACTCATCTTGTCCACCCTTTGAGCTTCCTTCTTTGGCAACAGCTACTTTCGGAGCTGCAACAAATCAGACGCAATATAATGTACATAATCTGGCTGTATCATATACATTCTTAAGCAACAAGCTATAATGTTATTCCATGTTTCAGGTTGTCCGCTGTTTGCGTCTGCTGAAAAAATTTGATCCAAATGAGTTTCAGCCAAAAAGTATAGCCTCAAATTTTAAATTTGTCAAAAAAGGTCAGGCAACTGATCAAATTTTGGAACTTCCATTAGAGAACTGTATATATGATATGATCAGTGCCCAAGGGACAAAAGGTATTACACTTGTTGAGGTACTTCTCTGAACCTTAAATTCATGCAACTTTATGGTATTATGTGTTTTCGATGATATGCTAGACTGGTGCTTACATTATCCTATTATTGCACTGCTGTTGTGCTTCCTTTCTAGTTATGCATGTTATCGTTACCTAATTTCTTCTTCAATACTTGATTATGGTTGCCTAAAACCAGTTCGAAGATATTTGTTTGTTTGGTTGTGGACTAGTTTCAGCAATAGGTTATTTTATTTAGGGACCTGGAAACATGAATAATTTCTCATGCAAACATACAGCAACTTCCTGGGACAGTAATAACATTGTTACTTGACTCAATAAGACAATATGCTTCCTAGTGGAAAAAATAGATCCATGAGCAAAAGCTCCTGTCATGAACCCCACAGTGCATTGATGATCAGTATATGGAGAAGCTTGAATACACATCATTATGTGATAGAGATTTTGTTTGCTTATGTCATCTGATGTGGGATGATAGTTTGTTTTTGTTTATCTTAAAATTAGTAACTAATGTCTAATGCAACTTCTGATTAGATTGGCAAACGTCTTGGACTCAACAATTCGAAAAAACTTCATAAACGAGTATCATCCATGCTAAAAAAAATCGACCTAACATGGGAAGCAGAAGTTCCAGACAAGACATCACAGTACCGAATTTGGACTTCAAAAAACTTCTCACTCTACAAAGCTGGTACTGCTCTGCAAACTTTTGAGGCACTATCAGAAGACTCTGATGATTGTTCGGATTTGTGGTCCCTAGTTCCATCTAAAGGTTTGGATACTTTGGAATCATCTAGTTCACATGGAAAACTACTCTTGCTTGAAGAAGAGAACCATGACGAACCAGTTGGACATCATATCCAGAACAACCTTGATGCTTCTGCTGTAGTTTCTCAGTTAGTTGAAGAAGGTACAATGACCTATATTTGCATAATTTATCTCTTCATTTTGTTAAGGTTCTGTGATTAATATCTCTGGGGATTGCCATGCTGCAGTAAGAGCTCGCAGTTTCTGTACTGTCTATATACTGTGCCATGCTTTGACTTTAAGATCACTAGTAGATCCATAGAGCTTTATGCTTTTTCGAAGCATATATCTGATTAATACATCTATAGCTGGGCAATATAATCTGTTTCAAATCCTGCATATGCTTTTCCTCAAAGAGTCCTATTTAAATCACGAAGGGCACTCTTTGGTTGGTTTCTAGATTCACAAGTTTAGAAGTTTTTCAGCTAAGGGTGGTTATTAGTTCTAATTTTTTTCAAGTAATACCGTGCCTTGATTTTGCGGGCTACTACTTCTTAGTTCTTGTGTATCGTTAAGTTTCTTCGTATGGGATTAGTTAATCTTTTCCTTGGCAAACTAGCAAGCTATATGTTTAGGTTGCAATCAAATTGCTACTCAACTCAATGTAAATGATCACGTGCTTTTCTTTAGATAAAGTTGCTTTGGGTCAGAGGAGGAGGTGTCGGTGCCGTCCATTAACTTCTGATGATCAACGCCATAGAAGGATTCTACACATGTTAAAGGTTGCTTCCCAAGTATTTGTCAATTGAGATTCTTTGCATAGATCTATCAAATGCAGATGTGTATGTAATTTAATATTTGTGACAGTTCAATACTGGATGTCATGGCATGGAATTTACTCTATATTTGATGCAGTACCTGTTCCATATTTCATTTGCGTGTATGCAACCTGTCATGTGCTGGTCTTATTATCTTATTATTATCTATTGTTTTTGCTGTTACTTGTTTACTTCCAGTGTTCGTAATTTGGAATTGCAGAAACGGGTCAGTTTTTTTCCCGGGTGTGTTGGCTTTAGGCCAGTATGCTTTTTAATGGGGGTGGGGGTGACCCTCTATGATTCAAGATAAGCATCCCTGGTTTTTGCATATGGCATAGTGATATGGTACCGATAGTTACTGTAGCATTTCATATTTTTCTTCCAGATAAAACTCTTTTGAATGTAGTCTACTATTTTGTATTTTTTTCCATATTAAACTATTTTGATTGTTTATATTTCTTCAAAGGGTTAGGCAGTGTATATTTGTAGTCAGCATGACCTGTGAGACAAGCCTATTTATTGTGGGCTTTGATAAATTTTCACATGCATTCTTGTCCTTGTCACCCTAGGTAATACTATCCCTGTTTTCAAATATATGTTATTCAAAATCTGTGCAGTCAAAGCCTCTGATTGTAACAAAACTAACTAAATAAACTGTATGAGTTGGTAGTTTGGAAAACTACCAGTGTATTCATTAAATATTTTTTAGCAATATAACAGTTTATACAATTCTACTATCATTGTAGACCACCTGATATATTTTTTAATGGAGCGAGTGATAGTTACTACTTAGATAATTCTTTTTTAATCCTAGTCAGAGTTAGTAACAGCAACTTTCAGCTTCCAACATTTTCCTTTTTTTGTGTGTTCATGTTCATGCTAGCCCTTTGGGTGCCTTTAGCATGTCTAGTTGTATTTGATCATTCTGTTTGCCTTTTATCTTTTGGGCCCTTGCAGAAGAAGAAATTTGTACTGAAGGTGGAGTTACATAAATGGTTAGAACGTCTTGAAAAAAAGGACGGAAAAATAATGGATAGGAAGACATTGACTCGCACGTTGAATAAGCTTCAGCAAGAGGGAAGCTGTAAATGTATCAAAGTCAGTGTTCCCTTGGTCACAAACTATACTCGCAGTCATCTCATTGATGTAATACTGCATTCTTCTGTTGGAGACTTGTCACCAGAACTTGTGGATCAATTTAGGATCAGACAAAGGAACTTTGACACTCAATCTCGGGCAGGTGCAGCAGCTAAAGTGAAGCAAAATCAACATATGACTGCCATACCTGGTCTGAGGATTTCACGCAGAGTTAAAGTTTACAAACCATTAATATTAGAAGCTATGTATGCAAATGGATTCATAGGTGCAAAGATGATTCGAGCAAAGTTATTGCATAAATTTCTGTAGGCTTATGTCAATTCTTTGCCAAATTGGTGCAATGCGTTTGGTTGCGCCAAAGAAGGGCATTATGATAAGAGCCTTAATCAATCATGCCTGTTATTTTCTATGGAAGAAGCTATGAAAGAAATGCCCCTTGAACTCTTTCTACAAGTTGTTGGGTCAGCAAAGAAGATTGATGATAGGGCTTGATGCCCTACCGGCATGGCTGCGTGGGTTATAGGGGTGGAAGAGAGGAGGACGTGGTCTGTACTCTCGACGTCGGCGAGGGGCCGTGGTGGCGAGAGTGCGGCGGCTGCTGCTGCAGCCCTAGAACCCTCTTGGTGCTACAGTAGCGGCGGCACTGTTCACGCGCGAGAACAGCAGGAGGCGGCTAGGGTTAGGAAATCCCGGCTCCCTTCAGGAAGCCGGAAACAACTCTGTTTCTGCTTAATCCAATCTCCAAGTCTTTACAAGTATTTATACTTCTCTCTAATAATAATAGGAATAAATAACTATGGGCTTTTAGGCCCCTAGGCCGGCAGCCTCTAGCCACTAATGGGCCTACGCCTTGTATAATGGGTGCCGATCATAACATCTCTCCCCGCCTGCGCAAACAGCTCGTCCTCGAGCTAGAAGGCGAGAGGTAGAGGTGCTTGAACTCGTCGACGAGGGATCTGCTGCCCGTGCGGAGGGACCCTGTGGGCTCGGGCGTCAGCGGAGAAGTGCGAGAGTGTCTTTGTGGAGCCGCCAGCGTCGAGGTCATGCGACGCTCGCCAAAGGACGCGTTGCCCTCACGCACGAAGAAGATGACATCATGGCCTCGAAATCCCACAAGATGGGACCCAAGGTCCGTAGGTAGTCGACGCCGAGGATGAAGTGGAAATGACCCAAGTCCAATCCGGACGACGTGATGGAAAAGGACTCGAGCCGATCGCGGATGGGCACGTGGCGAGCAATGCCCTCGCAGGGAGCCGGTCGCCGCCGGCCACGGCGGTGACGGAGCCGCCACCGCACTGTCGAGGCGAAGCCGTGGCGCGCGATCGTCGCGCGCCATGGAGGAAGTTGTCGCGTGAGCCGGTGTCGAGTAGCGCCAACAAATGTACCGCCCCTTTAACCATCACCGGAGTAGCATCGTATTGTCCGCGCGCGCATCCCGCAAGTGCGTGTAGAGAGACCACGAAAGCATTAGCGGCCGCAGGCTCCTGGGCGTCCGGAGCCTCGGGGTTGGCGACGTTATCCATCGCCGTGGCATTCCCCAGGTCGTCGTCGATGTAGTCGTCCGACTCGAGGTAGAAGAGTCGTGGGCACACGTGGCCGCGGACGTAGGGCTCATCACAGTTGAAGCAAAGCCCTTGTCGACGCCGCTCCAGTTGCTCGGCCGGCGTGAGGCGGCGGAACTGGCGCACCGGGGGCGCCCCGTTCGCCGCTGATGGTCCGCCCACTGGGGGCACAGGGGCTCCAGCCGAAGGAGCACCCGCTCCTGGTACGCGCGGGGGAAAATCAGGCCGCTGAGGAGGTCGGTCGCCCCGCTGGAGAGGCGCTGGAGGCATGGCTGCCGCGCGACGCTCGAATGCCTGGGCCAAATACATGGTGGTCTGAAGGTCGGGTGGATCCCGCATCTCCACATCCACCCGAATGTGCTTCGGGAGGCCGCCAACGTAGAGTTCGGCCTTCTGCTTTGTGGAGATGTCGCACGCATGGCACAACACCGCCTGAAAGCGATCAGAGAACTCCTGGACGGTGGAGTGGAAAGGTAGCTGCCCCAGCTCGGCCAATCTGGTACCGCGGACAGGCGGCCCGAAGCGGAGACGGCACAACTCCACGAAGCGATCCCAAGAAGGCATGCCCTTGTCTTGCTCGAGGGCGTAGTACCATGTCTGGGCCGTCCCCTTGAGATGGTAGGAAGCCAGCCAGGTGCGGTCGGAGGCCGGTGTGCGCTGGCCCCTGAAAAACTGCTCACAGTGATTGAGCCAGTTAAGGGGGTCCTCGGAGCCATCGTATGTCGAGAACTCCAGCTTGTAGAACTTCGGGGGGTGGCTCCCATGATCACCACCCTGGTCGCCGCCCTGATTGCCACCCGCAGGGATCGATGGTTGGAGAGGCGATGGAGTGCGGCAGGAGGCTGCTGGCATGGAGGAGCGTGCCATCGACACCTCCATAGAGGGTGCCTACTGCGAACGGCCCACCGTGAGCGACGACAGCGCCCGTCGTCAGCGCCTGCAGTATGGACGCCCGCGGTGTCGTCGTGGAGTAGATTGGCTCTGTCGTGGAACTGAGCGCCCATGCCGGGATCTGCGACGGCGACGGTGGAAAACGAATCTGTTGAATCGGAACATATGTCGACGGCAGCGATACGGAGGTCGGCGGCGAGGGCAGTGCCGCGGTGGGCATCCCGTAGGGGTACGAGATGGCCAGGTAGGATGCGGCTGATGACGGCGGCAGAGGGGGTGGTGGTGGCTGTGTGGGCAGCGGCGGCATGATGGTCAGCTGTCCCTGGAGGAGCGCCCGCAACGTTTCCTGGACCTCCCGCATGCAGTGGCTGAGGTCCACGATTGCCGCCGTCGTCTGTTCCGGCGAGAATACCGGGGCCGGCGCAGCCACCGATCCCAGCGGCAGCGACGGGGTCACCAGCACGCCTGAAGTTGCGGAAGGCGCTGTGGTGGAGAACGGCGCGGCGGAGATCGCCGGCGAAGGCGAGGACGTGGAGGCAGCGGGGGAGGCCATGATCGGCAAGGGCTCTGGTACCAAGTTGATAGGGCTTGATGCCCTACCGGCGTGGCTGCGTAGGTTATAGGGGTGGAAGAGAGGAGGACGTGGTCTGTACTCTCGACGTCGGTGAGGGGCCGTGGCGGTGAGAGTGCGGCGGCGGCTGCTGCAGCCCTAGAACCCTCTCGGTGCTACAGTAGCGGCGGCACTGTTCACGCGCGAGAACAGCAGGAGGCGGCTAGGGTTAGGAAATCCCGGCTCCCTTCAGGAAGCCGGAGACAACTCTGTTTCTGCTTAATCCAATCTCCAAGTCTTTATAAGTATTTATACTTCTCTCTAATAATAATAGGAATAAATAACTATGGGCTTTTAGGCCCCTAGGCCGGCAGCCCCTAGCCACTAATGGGCCTACGCCTTGTATAATGGGTGCCGGTCATAACAATTGATAACATGAAAACTTGTTGTAGGCTTGGAAAAACACTTTCAGAAATACCTACCAAGGAATACAATCAGCTCATGGATACTCATGCCTATGGTCGACTCTCACGTTTAGTAAATATTTTGGACAAGCTCAAGGTAATGTACTTGATATTCTTTTCTAATATTTGTAGTTAACCTTGTGAGAACCTACAACTTAGGTGTGCTCCTAAAAACTATTACTGAACATTAATCTTAAAGGCTATTTAGTAATTGCTAATTTGCTACACTTGGTACATATGTTCGATACTTGCTACATTGTTCAATAATCAATACTTAATCGCATAGGCGACTATCGTTGCAACAAACTGATCACTTTAGCTATGTTTCGCAGCTGGTTCAGTTTGCAAAAGAATTCTTAGAAGATGCTGGTGTACCGTCAAATGCCATGTCTACACATTCGATGGAGCTCAGGCCTTACATTGAAGAACCTATACCTAAAATTCTTCCATCTTCCCAACTGAACAATCATCGGAAAATTCGGCATGATTTTGTACTTTCAAAGCACGAGATTGTTGATTCATATTGGGAAACACTAGAGTGCTGTTATTTAACAGCTGGCTTGGCTGACCCGTTGAGTGCCTTCCCTGGCAGTTCTGTCCCTGAGGTTTGTCACATCTGCTGTACATCATTGACGCATAGGATTATCACCTACCACCCTCCCTCCATGTTGAATAAATGTACTTAGCGCCTGTTTGTTTTCCCCCCAACTTACATAAGCTAGCTTCTAGGTCATTGGCAGTATGGTAAGAAACACCACCCTAGATGCCGAAATAAGTTTCCCACGTTTGTGTTTACCATGCTGCCCTTGGGTCATAAGCTATCTTATATAAGTCCAGATGGAAACAAACAGACTCTTAGAATTTGAATTGTCAAATTCCTCAATTTTGAATGCTAATATAGCCGTGATAACTATTTATATTGACAACTATGAAAAATAGTGACTTGAATTTGGCATGAGAATATTTCATAATATACATATTTTATTCGTTTAACTTGCATATCATTATAAACCACTTGATGGAAAAATACTTATTGGAGATTCTTATCCAAAACATTATATTCGTGAACCTGGAAGTAACCTTTGTACTTGTCATTTTTATTTAATCCCTTTTTGTACTAAAGATTTTTTTTTATGTATTTCTATGGTGTTATCAAAATTTGTTGTCTGGACAAATTGCATAGTGTTGTTTGTTTCCACTTAAAATATGCTTCACTAATCATTATCTTCATATTTCTGCACTTGATATTAATTCTTCGTTTCCTCCTATTGTTTTAACTGAGCTGTGCATTTTTGTTGTGGGGTTGGATAGGTGTGTTTTATGGGATAACATAGCCTCATTTCCCTGGAGATGTGATGGAGAACTAAGTAAAAATGGCACCAAGAAGGATGAATAGAGAGGTGGTATCAAATTAATTTCTTAATTGTTTTATATGTGGGCCACTATCGCTCCTTATATATAGAGATGGATGGCTGTAACGAATAAATCTTAAGTTCTTAACCATTAAAGCAACTCTTATCTCAAGAAATAAATCCTATGTTACTGAACTTGACTTAGGCGAATAACAAGCATCCTAATCTGACTAGCTTACTCAGCTCGGGCCACGCTGCCCCGCCTGTGGAGCCCAGCATAAGTGTGGTCTTACATAATGTTGCGTTTAAATGGGTGACTCTGGCCTGTATCTTTGGTAGTCCACAGCCTCCCGCTTCTGCCAGCTGGGTTTGTTTCAGTACCACACGCCTGCTTCTGCAGTTGCTTTTAATTGATAGTTATTTTTGATGAGCAACTGCTGCAGTGCTGTTTTTTTTTTCTTGAAAACGCAGGAGAGCTGCGTATCATTATATTAAGAAGAAAGGAAAAAAAGGATAAGAACCCTTAGGAAAGTCACATACCCACACCACTCAGGCACTCAGATTACAAAGAAAAATGCGCTCGTGCCCTTTTACAAGAGAAAAAAAATCTACCACGACCTGAACTTAACTCTCTCTTGGGACAAGGGCAAGGATGTAATTTGTGCCTTGCACCCCAGCCAGCCCCCAATAGTGCAGCTCCTCGCTAGCTGCTGCAGTGCTGTTGCCAGAAGTCTCACTACTGTTAGAGCTATTTGAGTCACTAATGGTGTGTTTGGTTTGAGGAATGGAGTGATCCATCATCTTCTCACTCACTTTGCTGTTTGGTTTGTGGGATGGATGGGTTGATCCATCACCAGTTCATCCCCCAGAAGCCAATAATTAGTATAAGCATGAGGAATTGAGCCATCCAAGTCTGATTCCACCAAAATCATCGGATGAACTCATAATGCACTACCTCATCTAGAATAGGGTGGTTCCTCAAACCAAGGTTCCAAAAGACGCTAGGCGCTAGGCAGACGCTAGGCCGCTTCCTAGCGCCTGGATGGATTAAACGTAGATTAAACGTGATTAAGCGTTTGTGCTTTTTTTATTTGTTTTAATTTTTTTTTCTGGCAACACGTATGACTCAGATTAGATTCCCAACTTCCATCTCAAAAGACATTGTAATACATTCAGGCAATTCTGATTCCAATTCTTGCAAAATTGTAAAGAAGTGGTGAAGGGACTTGTAATTTTGATCCCCACACGTCATGTTTCCCTTTTCCCTGGCTCTTCCGCATGCTTTTTTTTGCTGCCCGCCAGCCCATGCGGTCACAGATAGCCCACCAAGCCAGCCATGCCATCCCTTTTTTCGCGTTTCTGCACTACTTAAGCACTGCCTTATGCCTACATGCACCACCTAGACGTGTCCAGAGTTTTATTGGACGCCCAGGCACTAAACAAGACGCTAGGGGTCTGTTTCAGGTTTAATCGAGAGTAAACGTAAGTTTACTTATGTTTTTTAGAAACATGCCTCAAACCAAACAACCCGTAATTTCCTGAATCTTAATACTTGTATCTGCTCTATTTCTTGTTTGTACCTTTTGACTTATATTGGCAGATCTGCAGCTGCAAGCACTTTATTGTTTGTTACTTGTCAGAATCATTACACTATCTATTACTGAAGCCTTAAAACTCTTGCAGAGACCAGAATAAACTTCCTTTTTCTAAAAAAATTACTGAAGCCTTGTTACTTGTCGGAGTTTTTCTACTATTACTGAAGCCCATTATACCCACTGGAAACTGTATTAGCTGGAAGTGGCTATCTGTCTAGCTCTCTTAGATCAGAGCTTTTATTTACATTGTTTTGGATACTATATGACATTCTGTCCCATATAGGTTTCGCATCCTCGTTCATGGAGTACACTAGTCATGACTACTGAGCAACGACTGGAATTGCAACAGCGTATTATGAATGTCAGTGAGAAGGGGAAAATTCCGTTTAAAGACTGTGTTAGAATAGCAAGAGAATTGAATCTCTCTGTAGAGCAGGTATGTGTTTAGATTTTCCTCTGTTATCATTTATTGATCTGAAGTACTATATTTATTTGATCTCATTTTGCATTTCTGTATTTCTTTAGCTTGCATTTTTAACTCTATGCTATCACAGGTTCAGGGTTTGAACATAAGTAGCATGCAGTGCATTGTTTTAACATGCAAAATGGTTCATTTGTCACCATCTTGGAGTGCTTGTTTTAAGCATGTGAGGCATAATGTGCTACTTTGCATTATTGGCTTGATTGTGTCATTATCCTGTGATCTCCCCCTTCTAGATGCTTCCCTACTCTCTGTCATGGGGTTGTGATGGATAAGGGAGCACCTTATCTGACATATTTACACAACACATGCTGCAAAAGGTTGATTTAGCGAAACAGTTCTTGCTACACCCTACAGCGTAGGGGTACATGGGGCAAATAAGGAATATAAGGGCAAGGGGATACATGGTGAATCCTCTGGTTTAGCCTGATTGAGTGAACAATATGCAACATGAATGATATGTGCTTGGTTTAGTTAGTGGATACAAACTCTGATGATATACATTAGAGTGTTACTTGGAGCAAGATGTTAAAGTGTAGCTTGGAGATCTCTCTCTGATCTTCCAGCTCCACCAGATACATGTCGCAGAAGGATGGCAGTACTATTGAAAACAAACGAAAAGATAAGAGGAGCTGTCATGTGTATATGTAACCTTCTTGTGAAACGGTATGCTAGATATCTTGAAAAGGAAAGGAGATTGAAAAGGAGAAGTTTGGTTCCCCAGATTTCAGAAAGTAGTCACGAAAACAGTTTGGATTCAGATTGTGAGCAATTCAATTGGGATGACTTTGAAGTTCCGGAGATAAAGAGTGCACTTAATGAAGTCCTTGAATTAATTCAAACAGAAAAAGTAGATCAGACCAAGAGAATTGGGCCTGTGAATCAAAAGAATATTAATAATGATAATGATGTCACAAAGGACACAATATGTTCACAGGAACTGCTGGTAAGTAATTTCTACATTTAACATAAATTATACACTCTAAATCTGGAGATATACACATGGGAGTAACTACACCCTAGGAGTAGGAAATATTTTCCATATATATATATATATTTGTCAATAATGTTTTTTCCATTTTAGAATAATCAGGCTATACGAGGTGAAACCAAAATGAGTTTCAGAAAGCGGATTCTGCGATCCTGAAAAATCATGCGGACATTCAAATGGAGAAAGTGAAAACATGGATGTCTGCTGCAAACCTCAAGAAAAGATCATTAAGGATCACAGAAATAGGATTATTGAAAGAGGTATATGGAAATCATTGGCTGTTGCAAATGCATTGGAGCTTCTGAAGTTGGTTTTCCTCAGCAAATCATTAGGATCAAACGTACAAGCTTCACTTGCGGCAACACTGCAGCTTTATTCAGAGAGCGAGATTTTTACTGCTGTTTCCTTTCTTAAAGAAAGAAGATTCTTGGTTAGTATTTCTGAACTTATGTGCCCAACTTAGGTATGCTGTGCCCAACTTAGGTATTTTTATTAGCATTTGGGGCATGTTTGGTGTATGACCCGGGTGAGCCTTACCAAATTTTGGCTCTTCCAAACCCCTTGTGATGCCAAGATGTTGGCAAATTCTAGATTTTGGTTTGTAGCCATACCAACTTGTTGGCAATCACAAACTGGTAGAGAGAGCCATGTCGAAGTTTGTCAAAAACTGTGAATATAACATGGATCCACAAGCTTATCAATTTTTCCCCGGCAAAATATAGCAAAATGGGATCTTGTCATCTAAATAATTGTTACAATATGATGCAAACACATTGCAAGTCCTTTACGCCCTTCATAAATTAGCTTCAAGTGTAGTTAGTGTTATCCTAAACGCTAAACGGTAAAGAGTCGGTCACCCTTTGTTGGATTGGTGCTGCCAAATTTTGAGTATTGGATTGGTGCTGCCAAATTTTCCTTGGTAACGCAAGAGTGCAAGACTTTGGTGCCAATCCAAAGTTCCAAACAGCAGGCAATATTTGTTGCTAATACCAAACTGTAGTAGGTTTTTTTGTTGGCTGTGAACCAGACAGCCAATAGTTTATGCAGCACAACAAATAGATGGATATGTGCTAAACTATGACTTTTGTTAGTCAAAGTTAAGGTCAATAGGCATTCTTCGTTTCTTATCTTGCAGTGAGCTGTGGTTTAAATTATATTTTCTTAGTGCTCACACTTGCATACCAACATGCACTTGTGCTCTTGTTGTAGTTTCATATGACTTCCCTTCTGGTATAAGCAACCAGTTGATATGCTTTGAAATAATGTTGTAAGAATTTCTTAGTTTGTTCTCAAAGAATCATTTTTTCTTTCCAATTTACTTTCGATCACAAGTATAAGTCCATCTTGGTTTGCCCTAATTCAAACTTTTCTAACTTAGCCCATTGGTATTCAGAACTTTATATAAATTGATAGCGCTGTTACGAATAAGCGAGACTGGATTGGATAATTGTATTGAGGCCAATGGCGACTATATGTTGAGTACATGAGAGACACAAGAGGGAAACCTAGACTAGGAGATTAAACTAATACCCTTGACTATAATACCTTAACAAGCATAACATTGGCATTACTAAATTCATAATGAAAACTACTTATATGACGTGTAACTCTTTTCATATGAGATAATATTGTTTTATAGATATTGCTGGTCAGTCAGAAAGTTGGACTTAGGCCAAACCTAGTTGTATATATTTGTGATCTGAGGAAGCAGCACCCATGATATTTGAAATAATGTTATGAAGGATATGGAACAATTAACTCTGTAACTAGTCAAACAATTGATTTTTTTACTTATGTGTGACTTGTGACTTAAAAGGCCCTGTTATTCATCATCCATCATTCAAGTTTCTTCCCCATTTTGTAGGTTACTGGGAGTGGTGGGAAGCCGTACACCCTTTCTTCACAATTCTTAACCAATGCTTGTTGTTCACCTTTTCCATTTGGTTCAGGAAAAAAGGCTTCTGCATTTTCTAATTGGCTTATAGCTCAGCAAAAGAATACTACAGACAGTGGAGTTTATTTGTATCCAGACATACAGTGTGGAGAACTTGTTCATCTATTCTCTCTGGTTTTGTCAGGAAACCTTCTCATTTCACCTTTCTTGCCTAGTGAAGGAGTTGGTGAGGCTGATGAGCCTAACAGCTCTGGTCCTTTGGTCGTAGATACTAGTGGTTTAGGTGACAACAGTCAGAAGCGCAAGGCTGATACGGTGAAACTGAAAAGTGGCAAGGCTAAGAAACAGAAGCCTTTGCCAAAGATAGAAAGTGACTTTTGCTACCGCCGGGAGAAAGGATTCCCTGCTATCCAAATAGGTCTAAATCTTCATAGAATTCAAACAAGCAATTTCCCGCAAGAGTTACATTGGTAAAGAATCCTCTATTTTTACTTCAAGCTGGGCAATGAGCAGAAAAAATGTTGATTTGCATGCAGAAAGACACATCATGCCATCGTTTTCAAATTGCTTAAGTTCATATAGGCATTTGTTGTCTGAATCTCAGTTGGAGAACTCTTATAGTGGATGGCCTTGGGATGCTATGAAAAAATTTGCAGAAGAGTATTCAGTATTTGAGCACCAAAGTGAATTGTTCACATTGTCTCCTGAACTGTTCAGGAATGCATTTTGTATTATTCATAAAGCTGGTGGGCAAGGAGTTACTTTGAGAGAACTGTCGCAGGCACTGCATCCATTAGGTACTTAATATGCTAATGGCCAATGTTTTGCATAGTTTTTTTTACTTAATAACATCCCTTGTTACAGTTTTTTGTTCTTAAAAAACTGTGCAGCCATGCAGATGGTCTTAATAATTGTTGACACTCTCAAGAGATTTCAGCTGGCTGTTAAGGTAATTCTGTAACTTGCAGAGTATACTAGTACTGTAGGTGTGGGTTAAATGCTACTATTGTTTCTTTCTTGTCGAATTTTTCTTAGGTTTGCTTGCCCTTCTCCATTAGCTAATGGGTGGGATTCATTCAATTGCTTCATAGGTCAATGCATATGATGGCGTTCAGATTGTGGACTCGTTACATTCGGCAAAGTATCATGTAACTACACTTGCAGAATGTGATAATTGCTGCTGTACAGATCCTCCAACTTCTCAAGTTGTTGATAATGAAAACACAAAAAATCTACTGAGAGAGAAGCATACCAGGCCTATTAATTTTGATGGTCCTATAAAAATGCTTGGTGATGGGCACACAGTGACAGTAATTAATGTTCAAAGCAAGTTGAGCTCACCTCATATTTACAGCAAAGATCCTGGGGATGAGGAAAGGTTATCTACTCCAGGAGAGAACAATAAGGAGAGTAGTTGCTATCATAATTGTGAAAGGCATTGTTATCAGCCTATATTACCATGGATAAATGGCGATGGTAGCACTAATAGCACTCTCTATGAAGGTTTAAGTCGCCGAGTTATTGGTTATGTCATGCACTATCCTGGACTAATGGAGGTGTGTTTGCTTTTATTATTTGTGCCTGCTCTTTCTAAATAGGAAACTAATATTTTGCTTGTTCGTTGAGTGCAATACCACAATAACTTCTCTATTTCATTTTACGGCACCACTGCACTATCCTTTACTTAGGAAAAATAAATTCATTTTTGAGAAAGAATTCAGGTATGTAGAGTCTAGCAAAGACAGCAGGAAAGTTTTATACAATTCTAGGAGTATATATGAATTCTTAACATCTGATTGCATTCCTCAAATTCAGTTGTTAGAAATTTAGGATCTCAAAATCAAGTTTCTGACATGTTACTAGCTCATTTTGGATTATTCAAAATTTACTTTTTGTGATGTTAGAATGTCTGGAATACTGAAAAATCACTTTAGTTATGACAATCTGATTGGAGTACATTACTCATATAGTCATATTTCGGAAACCAGTTAAAAAAGAATTAATATACTAGGCCAGATATGGGGTACCCATGTATAGTTAGTCGGAGCCCTACCTTTTTCTAGTATAGTACTTGTTATTTGGTACTTGTTGGTTTGCAAATGCTACTAATCTTTTACCACTATTTGTTGAGAGTACTTGGCACTTGGCAGCACACATGCCTCCGCCCTTTTACTTTGCCCATGGCTAGTTATTTAGTTCAGTTTGCTTATCTACAAACACAAATATCCCCTTACTTAGAGAAAAGGTGATGTTTTGGACATAGACATGGTTTAAAAACATCACAACTTTGACGATTGATTTCTGTTGAAAACTTAATGTATACATATGACCAACTAAAATTATGATAATAATAGTGTATTTTCACTTTGAATATACATGCTGTCTTCATATGACATCTTAATACATACGAAGATGTCACAAGTTAAACTTGAATCACTTTTGCGATGGGAGTGTTAAATAGAAGACAAGAATTAGTTGTGAAGAGCATTTTTGGCTGCACTGGATAAAAATAATGGCTGCCTAGGTAACGTATTTCTCAAAGTTGACAAATATCTATGAATGGAGATTGTAGACATATTAGCTATACATGCTCATACATGTATGCTTCATATTTTAGTTTTTTTTATATGTTGACTCGAGTAGATACAAACATATTTGCTGTTCAATATTTTTGAAATTATTTAGCTCGTCCTGGAAATGTTGTCTCCAATGCTATTAAAAATTCTAGTGATACATGTAAATGTGTACTATGGCTCATTTACCTTGATCAGGCTATTCTTTCTGTGTTGTGACTAGAAAATGGCTCATTCTCAAGATATTAAGTTACTGTTCCATTAGTTAACTTTTATTCTAAACAAAAGGAAACCATTGTTCTAATCGCATGCTATACTCTTATTGTGTTGTAGGAAGATGTTATCCGTCGGATGGATGTATTGAATCCTCAGGTATCTGGCCCATTTTCTGTTTCGATCCTCAGGTTACTGTTCAATTAGTGACGCATTATCTTTTGACAGACTTGCAGGACCCTGCTAGAAAAGCTAACGCTCGATGAGAACCTTCATGTTCGGGTGTATGAAGAACCTGTGCCAATGGCTCCGACCATACTGCAGGGTCTGTTACTCTAGTAAAGAACCATCAAAATGTGTAAAGCGCTACTTCACAAACCCAATGAGCACATTACAACTGTAACTGTAAGAATATTTTAACTTTGTTCTAGATCCAGAGTCGTGAGTGCATCATAATTTGGAATGTTTAAATGTTACCCTCCCCGGAAGTGCTAAGGGCCTTGCAGAACTGAACCATCATGGCTTGTCCGTTTTCAAGCCGTGCTTGGTCTAAGACACTCTCCCAGGCGCCGTTGTCCCGGCGTTGGTTCATGCATGAAAGTTTGCTTTACCAGAGGTAGCATCCGCAGGCGTTTACCCAAAAGAAAGAGGATGATGAAAGCATCTAGACCCCAAATTCTATTTTAATGATTAATGATGACACAATTATTATGATTAATGTGTGTTTTGTAGGGGCATTACTTAGTAGTGAGATCATAGCGATGATTGATTGATAGACAACTATGATTTTCATGCCCCTATTGATGGATTTTATGTCGGTTCTAAAGGATGAGTGACAAGGTAAAGTCTAATGGATGAGTGTGGTGCATACTTGTGAAGCCTAGAGCTAAGTAGCTCAGATGGTGCCCTAAGATCAATTGGAACTTAAGCCATTTTTAAAGGTGTTTGAATAGATTAAAATGAAGGTATTTTAGGGTCATTGGATTTCTCCAGTGCTAACCCGTGAGGAGCTTAGGCCATGTGGCCATTTTTAAAGGTGTTTGAATAGATGAAAATGGAGGTATATACGGCCATTGGATTTCTCCAGTGCTAACCCATGAGGAGCTTAGGCCATGTGTTAATGGCTTGGCTAGTTACTGTGCTCTGAACCATATACTCCCGTGGTCATTGGCGAAGTGCCACTGTAGCTTAGGCCCCATGCACACAGTACACAGGCTAGGTACACAGTGAGCTCTAGAGAAGCACCGGAGAATATACACTGGAACAATAACAAGCCGTTGCAACATCATCAAGAGACATGCTACAACAAGAGACGCCATAACTTAAACTAAGATCGTGTTTGGTTGAGCTTATAAATAGTGCTTCTGCCCAAAAAAGCAGAAAGGCAACCAAATAGGCCTCACTGTTGCCAGCTCCGATGGGGTACGTGATGCCGGTGGTGGCGAGGGTGTTAAAGCAGCCCACGCCGCTGACCATCGAGGGTGGCCTGAGAGACGACGCTCCTCGCGGGGCCCCTCTAGGCGGCGGCTCTCCTCGGCCCCCTGCTCAGTTGGGCCTCACTGTTGCCACTCCAGCGCCTCCGCCAGGGCGGCCTCCATTCACTCCCTGTCCTCCTCATCGATCTACCGCGGTTCACCACCAGGTAGTAGGTCGTGGCCGCGTGACCAACGCTGTGTTTCAAGTGTTTCAGACGTTTTAGAGCTTTGTTTCAAGTGTTTTATCTGAATGTTACAAAAAGTAGATTTCGAATGTTGCATATGTTGCAATGACAAAATACGCATGTTGTAAGGCTATGTTTCAAGTGTTTCAGGTGTTTCAGACGTATGTTGCAAATGTTTCATTTGGATGTTTTAAAAGTAAATCTTGATGTTGCACATGTTGCAATGTCTATACATGCATGTTTTAAGTGTTTCATCTGTTTCAGACGTATGTTGCAAAAGTAGATATAGTGTTGCACATGTTGCTATGGCTATATACGCATGTTTCAAGTGTTTCATGTGTTTTAGACGTATGTTGCAAGTGTTTCATTTGGATGTTTCAAAAGTAGATCTCGGTAGAGCACATGTTGCAATAGCGGCGGTGGCTGGCGGACAGCGGCTAGCCACAGCTGCCTGCTGCTGCTGCTAGTGCGTCGCCGTAGGTCATCGCGTCGCCTGCTTGTGCTGCTGCTGCGTGCATGCGGGCACGAGAAACGAAGTGGGTTCAGAGTGGTCCCCGCACATGCTTGGGCAGGGGCGAGCGAGTTGCGTGTGTTGGGCCCAGGCGGATAGACGCGATCTACGTGTGTGCACGGAAGCACCGTCCAACGCTCGTGCTCCGAATCGGACGTCCGAACGCTAGCAAGTCCCTTTTAAAATAGGTGAAAATAGTGAGTTGTTTCACAACTGTCTCGAGGGAGATAGAGAGGAATACAGGTTTTATACTTATTTCAATCAAACATCTTACAACTTTTCCACAAGTAGCTCACAATAACTTTTATAAGCTCACAACAGTTTTCCACATCTCACAGCTAAAGTCAAACGGACCCTAAGCCTTCAACTCTATGCATTGAACCGTGGATCGGGATGACAATTAAACTTGAACTTCTAATAAATATGTTTCGTAATATTCAAGCCTGTGTATGAGTAATGGACGATGGACTAAAAACAATTATAGCTTGATGGACCAAACTTTTGGGTTTCAATCCGATGGTTAATAAACATGTGACCTATTTAATTTATGGGTGAACATTTATCAACAGTTAAATAGATGGCCCCAATTATTCCCTTCAGTCAAGCATGCGTGACGACTTTTGCATCCGTGAATAAAGTCGTGAGAAGTCTCCATGGATTACGCCGTGGTGAAATTTCCTTTTCTAATTCTTGCGTGAAAGCACCCTTATAAATACCTTTTGGCGTATGCAATTACAAGAGTGTGGAAATTTTGCACCAGTTAAAATTGCTGACGGCTTAGCATGTAGATTCATAGCCAAGGAACTGATGTGTCCCCAGATTTTCAAGTGGCCGCTGTCATTCATTGATCAACTTCTAGCAACGCGAAGCATCTCTTGTGCAGTGGACAGTGGTAAAGTGTGTGAGAACACAACTGTCTATCAAGACTAAAGCTTAAAATAATTCAGTGTAACCGTCGAAATCAACCTCCGGCGACTCGCGAGTCATTTTGGGCCCCAACGATGATGGGACGAGTGCCCCTGGAATTCCTAACTCCACACAATGCTGATGTACTCCCTTTTGACATGCTGGCCAGGCCAACAGAGAAGCAATTGTTGCTAGAGGCTAGCTAAGGGATAGTTTTTCTATGAAGTGTGTCCACGATGCGTTGAAGCCGTGCTGCCTCTCCAACACAACAAAGATGTCCTCCCCTGCGATGCTAGTAGTTACCACTTGTGTTGCGCTCATGCTCTTGGCTGTGTGCTGGGAGTGCAGACCATAAGCCATGGTGTTTCCGGGGGGATCACCACTGTCCCTACTTCTGCCTTCCTGGCTCACTGTCCCTCCCACTGCGGGGATGTCAAAATCTCCTACCCCTTTGGGATAGGGCCAGGCTGCTTCCGGCATGGCTTCGAGCTCACCTGCATCGAGACCACCACTCTTCAGTCTTCCGTACTGTGGGGGTACGACCCCGGATACCCATGTCAGACTACATGGGCTGCGCCCCAAGGACGGCTCAACCCACGAGATGAAGCCTTGCGGGGCACGACTCTACTCGGCGCCTCCCGCAAGATACTGGGAAAATATCCTGAAGATGCTACGAAATCTTTAAGGATATGTATGATCCCATGATTCCTGTAATATGTTATTACTTTCCGGTTATCTCTCAGATCTAACTGACTTGTAACTCTGCCCCCGGACTATATAAGGCGGGCAGGGACCCCCTCCAAACTCACGCAATATCATACGATAGCCAATACAAACCAACAAACCACAGGAGTAGGGTATTACGTCGTAATGACGGCCTGAATCTGTCTAACTCGTGTGTCTCGGTTGCCTTCTTGTTCTTGATTACACGTCTCTCTGCCGATCAATCTACCTTTCGTGGGATACTCCTCGGAGGACTGCCGACGATATTCTATCGACAGTTGACGCGTCAGGTAGGGGCTGTGCGTGCTGATCCATGGCGAACCAGATGAGATCTCAAGATCAATGTTGTTTGCGACAACGTCCTTCGGCAACAGCGACTACGACCTACAGCGGGACTCGCCGCGCTTCCCGCACGAGCCTTCCTGCCAGATCAGATCGGCAAGCGTCCGCCGAAGAAGCAAAGCCGGTGACCCTGAGCGTCTCCACGCAACAGACTTGTCAAATTCTGCAGGTAACGTGTGACAATCCGTCTCTGGGCTATGCAAACCAAAAAGGATCGGCTTGCGTCAGCTATGGCAAGAGTTCTGGAGCTCCACTCGGATATGACAACCAAGACCATATGAAACTAGCATATACGTATACATCATACACGGGTACGGAACAGATCCATGCTTTTAGCCACCTACGAGATGCTGAGCCCGTTCGGCTGGCTTTAAGCCAGTTGGCTGGCTGGTTCTCACTCTCACGAAATCACTGTTCATATCCTGCCAGAATAGTATTTTTCTCTCACAACAATCAGCCGGAACAGTATTTTTTAGTCCTGCCGAACAGGCCCGATTTTTCCTACGGCTCATTTACTTGCCAAGCTGCGTCAGATCGGCTGCTGCTCATCTACATTTCCAACACGAAGACGAAGGCCACGTCCGAATCTGCATCACCACGCAAGCTAGCAATAGAAAAGGGGGCGTACTCGATCTACATATAGCAGGCTAACTAGATTGAAGCAATGCATGCATATACATGTTTGTCATCCATGGAGCGATTCTCCAGCAGTTGATTGGTCGCCGCCTCCGCTTGACCTCACACAAGCTAAATCATGCTTTAATATTCTTCTAAATATTCTCTAATCTTCGTATATCGCCATAATGTTTTTCCGAGCTGTTTTCTCCATGTTTGCTCTCCAAACGATTTTCTGAACCCCCGAACAGTCATGTTGATGCTCGGATGTCCCCAGAGACGGCCCTGTCCCCGGCTTCTCCCTACACGTGCACGAGCGTCTGCCCTCTGCGTTATGGGCGGTCGGCAGCGGCTCCTTAGCGACGCTTTGTTCTTCCTGCAAGCACACGGGCTCCGCGCTCCGCGTTATGGTTAATGGGCTAGCTAGGGCTGGAGACTCAGCTACACATTAACTAATCGGACGGTTTATATTAAATATAAATACATCTTCACACCAACCGATCGCCGAGCTACATGCGCTATTTTATCGTCATTGCTGATTTTTCTCCGGAGTTTATATATTTTTACATCATGTACTACCCG